GTAAATATATGTGAGACTTAAAGGATCCTCAAAAAAGCCATTATTTTCTAAAATGCAAATGTTTCTACTAATGATTGATACCAGAATTGATAGAGGCAGCAGGATAGATGGGTGAGTGGTGGAGTTTTAACCAAAAATGTCTGATCAGAGATTTTAAAACAGGGTTCTGCCTACATGTGTAGCATTCATGCGTACGCTGTGTTTTTGTAGGCTGACAAGGAAACAACTGATAACCTGCTTTGCTTTTTTTTTCCTGTTATATAATCGAATGTCTACATGTTGAGTTGTCATAAAATTGTTAACACAGATTGTCAGAAATTTAGCTTTGTGTTTGAGTTGTGAAAGGGACTAAAAGCTGTACTTTGAGCAAGGTTATGGCTAACTGCTTTTTCACATCAGTAGTGAAAAATACTGTGGAAAAAAAATAAGTGCTACTCTAGTTCAAGTAACAGGCAAAACTGCTTTAGGTCTATTCTAAATGCTGTTATAGAAGAAAATAAAGGACTTATTGAAACAAGTAAGATAAAAGCATAAAAGAATTTCCCTTGCTGTGGCAGGCAGAATTATTGTTTTGCTGTTTTAAGTATGCCCCTTTAAGCTTTATGTATAAAGCTTGTGAAAAATGACATCTTAAGGGAGATCTTCAAAAGCACCTGAGAAGTCTGTAAGCTGAAACCTGTTACACCTTTCTGTCACATTTCTGTTTTCAGCCTGGCCAGCTGTAAGAGTTGGGAATTTGCATCTGAGGATGACTACCCTATCAAGCATTTCAGATATGGTTGTGTATATGTGTGATTCTGCACTGTGGGTTGCTTGCTATTAGGAGATCAAAGAGGAGTTGCTGTCTGTGATGGGCAGTGGTTTTTGTGTCGTCTCTTCAGGTGATCGTAAGTGGAAGCTGCTGCTGCTGGTTGCACTGAAAGATATTTTTGCCATTTGTCTCCTTTAAAATATCTGCAGCCCGGATCCGCTTGGGTTGTGATGCCTTTTGATCTCAGGAGCAGAATAAAACCAGGCCAAGTAATCCCTGGGAACTTCTGCAGCCAGAATTGCTGGAAAGCAGGGTAATTCAGCACATATAATGCTTTCCTCTGAATCAGTGCCATACCTGATATGGTTTCAATGAGTTGCTTGGCTGTTGTTCATGCCTCCTCCTTCAGTAGTCCTGAGCCAGGGCTCCAAACATGTTCAGAAATCTAAGTTTGATTTCTATAGGTATTTACATGTTTGTTCCATAACGGGGGGAATTGTCCTCAGCATTTTGGCCAAACAAAACTTCAAAGGCATTTCATGGATGTGGCAATGAAGTAAGGCATTTTATTTCCTTATTTAGGTTATGGAAAAGAGGGTCAAGCCCTTTCCAAGAGAGTTGGATGTAGGTAGCCCTCAGTGCCATTGGGTTTGTTTCCTAATGCAGGCTCTACCATCTAAGTGTTCCCACATTTAATACCATGGAACAGGCCCACCAGGATTGCCTTGCTGTGAGAGACTACGGTGCTGCAACTAGATTTCCAAACAGTATCTAACATCCTGACACTATTACTTTCTGACCCATGAAGGGATGAGTCTGTAGGGCCCCATCTTTGTGAAACGGAATGTGTGCGAAGCCCTGCAGCTCATCTTCCTCAGAGCTTAGACTTGATTCTACAGCTAATATCACCTCGGTTGACCTGATATTAAATAAGCAGCACTGCAACAGTGAATGAGATCTTGTGTTCATTCATGTCACCAAAATGGCCTAAACCATTAAAAAAATTGTGCTCTAAGTTGATCTGGACAACTTACAGGCACTCCAGGTTTTAAGGACTGGCTCAGAAAACTTACACATTTTTATGTAGTGTACAATTAATTTTTATTTTGAAGAAGGGGAGAGAGAGACAACATATACTTGGCTGTTTTGCTTGACCTACAGAGAATCGTGGTGCTATACCATGTTTGCACAAAGTTTGCTCCAGTATGCAAAAGTAATTCACAGAATCCAGCTTGCTTGTTATATTCGCCAAGTGAAATCAAAGGGAAGGAATTCCTCAAAAATATTAGACTAATGCCTTGTGATCTAAACTGCAATGACTTTATTTTCTGAAAATGATCATTTCCTCCTTCCTACGGAGAATAGAATTTCACCTTGGAAAAGAGCAATGGAAACACATGCTTTAGTTTGCTTATAAAAATGTAAATGGTCTGCTTCTCTGTTTAGAAGTAGCTATCTCTAGCTATGAAATTATGAAAGAAAAATAGTACTGACAACTTGAAGAAGAAGAGGAAGTTTGTATTTCCACAACTGTTTGGGTTTGGTACCAATACATCCATTTCCACAACCTAGTAATTAGTTGATCAATATTTAAGTAAATATAATGATGAGATGATCTGTAGGAAAGATTAAAGAAATAATAAGGTAAATCTATTTGTATCACACTTTGGCCTCTTTTAGGAAAGAAGAAGGAAAGATAATTAAGTCTCAGCTTTTCTGTAGGTGTGGCATCCAGAGATTGCTTGAATATGAACCAAATAGATTAATTTAACATACTCTTTTTAGTTGTTGGTGTCCCTTGACTTTGGTATTTTGCAGGCTATATGGTATAAAACAGTATACAAGTATATCAGCAAGTGGATAGAACATTACTCTGGCTCAAATCGTGCCTAGTCATTAGTGTTCCCTCATTTGTAGTCTTTCATTTCGTAGATGTTTCATTATTGTTTCCTTTAAAGAGAGAATTCAGTTTTTGATACCTTTGAAGGCACAAATACAGACATTATGCATAGAAAATGTCATTGCAATTAGGAAATAAATGGTGTAAATTATATTAATTAAATTTGTTTTACTGAGGAATTCTTGGAGAGGTGGCATAATGTATTTATTTTTATTTTATTTTTTTGGCACTGTGCTTTGGACTACAGAATAAAACCAGCCCATGAAAGAGAAACACGTCCTTAGTCAGATATATGTGTGTGCATGTATATTTTGGCTCTGCTTCAACAAATGTGTGCCTTAATTGAAGTAGGTGAGTAATCTTATTTGGTTGGTGAGGAGCATGCTTAAGTACCTTGTGAATGTGAGCACTTAAGAATTACTTGGTGTTCAGGTATCATTTGAAACAAGGTTAAGTGAAAGCCTTAGAATGGAAATTAGATGTTCTTCTGATTAAGACTAATATCCACCTTTGATGTAGCTTTATGTCTGAAGTATCTCAGCAGTCAGAAAGTTACAGATTTTAATGCTGTTTAACTCCACTATATTGCACTTCTGAATTTTTATTTTCCTCATCATATGTAAATGATACTGTATTCTTTTTTCCATGGCTACTGTAAGTTACGTAGGGTGAGCAGTGTGAAAGCTGAATTCCTACTTGAAAGAACTGGATCATTTCCTGTAGCTACATGACTCCTGAACAGCCTGTCACTCATTGTATTTTTTTAATGACTGGAGCAGTTTTGTGTTTTATTGATTTAAGGAGAGATCTAGATTTTTGTTTGGATTAGAACATTCAACTGCTATTGACTTTAATGGGAGATTTATTGAGGTTGAGATAGTCCAGAAATCTGGACCTCTGCAATGCTCAGGGGGAAGCTGTATTCCTTTCACCAGATCTCCTGGATTTGGCAAACCTCAGAAGTGTATCTCTTCAGCTCTTACTGTGATGTAGCCTTAGCAAGGTCCAGAGTAGAGTTTTCCTGCCACCTCAGCTGGACGCAGCTGTGATTTTCCATCTTGGTAGTTCTTAGGCCAACAAAGGTGTTTCTTGTTTTTGTAAAACAATAGGATACAAGTTGTGTTTAGCCTTGGTGGAGGACAGTACTGTATGTGTTGTGGAGGCTTTGACTCCCTTGTCATCTTGTTGCATGATGTCTTCATAAGACCACAAAATCAAAGTCTTCTGATCAAATATCTTCATAAGACCTCAAAATCTGTTAAATCTCCTGCTCAAGCCAGTTAGTCTAATGAATACTCTTAAACACGTCTGCTGATTGTGTTGATTATGTGAACAGGGAGGCAAACTGTGCATTTGTCTAATTAAAGGCTGCTTGTGAAGCTGGCTCATTTTTGAGAGATCTTTCTTCACCTGGTTTAACAGATAAAATTTCTCTGGACTTTGTGATACCAACCTTTTGTCTTTTGAGTAGATAGACATTTGGAAGTTTTACCTTTTCTCTGCCTCTATAGATGAAAAGGGAAGGGAGCCACCAGAGCTCCTGAGCAGCTTCCCAGTTGGCTTATGTTACTCCAAGTGGGATATGAGAGTCTATTCTTCCAGGAACTCCCTCCCGTTCTCCCGCTGAGGCATTGTGCAGAGGCAATTTCCAGTCTCACCATACACTGCCCAAGCTGTTATAATTTATCCTGGCTATTACTCAGAGGTGGCTGTTCTATCAGTGTAACAGTCACAAAGTGGCTAAATACGTGTAAAGGTAGACAAACAACCTGTCACCAAAAACTGTAAATTCACTCCAGCTATGCAGAAACAGCCAAACGTTTTTGCATCTTTGACTGGAGGCAGCCAGCAATCAAGGAACCGTGTTGGTCTGCAGCCAAAACAAATAGGGAATTCCCTCAAATATTTTTTGTGAAGTGAATCATGGGGGCATAATAAGGTTTGGCTCCATATTTATTGGTGCAGTTTGGCTATTAAAATTCTCAGTTCTGTGGCTGATGCTGGTGTGGCTGTTCTCAGGATTGCATTACGCTGCGATTGGGTTACGGTCATGGCAGCAGGATCAGGTGAATGGAGCGGTTTTCCCTGTAACTCTTTTCCCTTAATGGGATTTTGGATGCATAGTACAGTCTGCCCTTTCTCACTTGGGATTTTCTTCTTCCTGATGGAGGAATCACTGGAAAAAGAAGAGGGGCTGCAAGTCAGTTTAGTCAGTGGTGCAACAGTACCTAGCAACAGCAGCAAGGATCGAGATCGGCTTGGTCTGCTTTCTAGATCATTCTTACTGTAAAGTTCTTCTGTCTTTGGTGCCCCCTTCATTCCCACCCATAAACACTTATGTCTTTCCAGTGCCTGGGATAACAGTTTGGTTAATCAAAGAATCCCTTGGGAGCTGAAGAGGCAGCATCTTCCAGGCTCAGGGGCATCAAAACTGGTGAGATATGCTATTAATGCTTTTATATATATATATATTATTTTTTCTTTTTTTTTCCTGGAGGTATTTTCTGTTCACTTGAGACAATTACGATCATGAACAGCACTTTAATGTTAGGTTAGTATCCTTTGAAACTCGAGGTCTGGTGTGGAAAGAGGCCATTCTGGGGGGTTAGTATTCAGCTTAACTTAACACACTGGGGAAGATACTTTACGGTAGTCCTTGATTGGACTGACTGTTAGAAATTGCTTGGGTATTTGGGACTCTTCCACCTTGATGTTTCCTTTTGTTAGTGTTTTGTGTGCTAAGGATTACGAGTAAGTATGTGCTCAGTAATCTGGAGAAATTCTTCCGTGTTGTGGCTCCTGTGGCCCCTGGACATTACCTGAATGAGAAGGGAGCATTTCTTCCCTCGAGAAGGCCTAACTCTTATTTGTTATTAAACCTACACGTGGTCATCTTTGCACACACACACACATCAGTGTACACATAGGGTACCGACTGCGGTAATTATTTCAGCTCGACAGCCATACTAGTCTTTCTCCTAGTGAAAGGTTATGAATATGGAGACTATTATATGTCATTAAGATAATAATGTTGCTGCGTATGTTTCAAAGTCAATGACTCTATTCCCTAGGTGTTCTGGTTTTAGTTTGACAGGGACATGTAAAACAATTCTGCTTGCCAGGTGGGAGGAAATTTGCCTTTCAAAAGATTGTTGCTTCAGCACTTGATAGGAGTCTTGCTAAGCAATGATGATGATAAAAAATGTTCGCAGAGTACACTTGTTTTGTAATTGCTGTTTAGCACAAATTGCTCCAAGTGATGCAACTCCATCATTCTGACTACACAGGTGGAGGTTATGATGTCATGTGTAGCAAATTGACTGATCCAAAAGGATTGGACATTTCTATAAAATAGTAATACAATACAGAGTTATAGTGGTGAAGAATAAGGAAAACAATTTAAAGGGATTTAAAACTTAAGTGAAGAAGCCAGCCTCAATGAGGTGGTGAGTAAGGGACTTGCCTTGAATGGTTACCCTGTTTGTTGAACACCTCTCTGAAATGACTGTCCGCTATCAAGAGCTGTGTCTTGGATGAGGGGTATCACAGATCTGATCTTGACTTTTCCTGTAAGGGTGATGTTTTGTAAGGGTCCCAAGAAATCATGGTCATACACGTGGCAGAACTGATGGCTATTGTGTCCACATTAACTCTTAGAGAGTGAATAGCAGATAAAGGCTTGCCTTTTGAGTCACATTGCCTGTCTTGTATCCTTTTTCTAGTCTGCCTTTTATGATGTGTTCATCAGGCAGATCGAAGGCTCCCAAGCAGGGCAGAGTCCTAAGCACGTACCGAGATGGTGTGGTCAGCCATAGCTTGCCTGCGTGTCCAGTCTCTGACTGTCCCAGCTTGTGTCAGGAGATGAGGGAAAGCAGAGGCAGGGTGAACGGGTCTAAAACCAGGAGTAATAGCAACCTAAAAGTTGGTTGGACAGTACTGGCTCTCAGATGCTTTTTTATTTTTATTTGCATGTAGAAGTGTAAAGGCTCCAGTTTCAGTCCTCAGGAATAATTAATCTTTAATCAGGAAAACAATGCAATATGCAATTGGTGAGCTGTCCTGACAATGGCATGGCAAAGTAAAATTATTTTTTTGAGGCTATTAACTATGCTGACTAACAGAGAGTTGGTTAATTCTTTAAGGATAATGTTTTGGGAAAATTCACAGCCTCCAAATGCCTGCAGGGAGACTCGTCCATATTTGTGGTATATTTGAGGCTAGCATTCCTCCTTTGGGCCATGTATTTTAAGAGGAAATTTTAATGGAAGGCAACATTGTTGCAGAGTAACATCCTTCTCTGAAGCACTTTCCAAAGAATTGTTAAGGCCAAAGGTCTTGTTTTTTCAGGGCAAAAGATGTGAATCCTCTAATATTTACTCAGTTATAAATAGCAATGGGCAAGGCTCTGAGAATGGATTCCTGAGAGATTGTATCAGGGGTCGTTATTCCTAAACTGAGCAAAGGCAACTTTGGCACAGAGAACAGCATTATCGTTAAACAGATAGCAAATAACTGTAATAAATTTGTGAGTTTTTCATTCCTCTGCTCAGGTGTCTCATTTCTCTTTGGTACCAACAATAACAAAAATGTGTTTTATTTCTAATAAGAGATGGCAGTTTGACACTGAGGGAATCTTCATCCTAAATGTTTCGGTTCTCCAGCCACAGCAGCAGTGATGCAGACTATATTGGCATTAGGACCATGCAGATGGTAGGAGAAAGTGCAAAGCCGGTGGGGGGAAGCACTTAACTGGGATGCAGGAGGTGCTGCT